AACCTGTTATGTAGTGATATAGTTTTAATTTACGTAGTTGCCATGCACCTATATACAGTTGGAGATGTGATTATGACTTCAGTGAGTTTGACGTTAGGTCATGCTGTACCTTTTTACTGCGTTTTGGCCGCTCCTTCATCAGTTCTGGTCCATCTACACGTGACTAATTAAAACCATTTTACGTAACGTGAATGCGAATCTCAGGGTGGGGTGTAATTAAAACTATTTTACGTTACGTGAATGCGAATCTCAGGCTGGCGTGCAATAAAAACTATTTTACGAATGCGAATCTCAGGCTGGGGTGTAGTTAAAGCCATTTTACGTAACTTGAACTCGAATCTCAGGCTGGCGTGTAATTAAAACTATTTTACGTAACTTGAACTCGAATCTCAGGCTGGCGTGTAATTAAAGCCATTTTANNNNATTTTACGTAACGTGAATGCGAATCTCAGGCTGGCGTGTAATTAAAACTATTTTACGTAACGTGAATGCGAATCTCAGGTTGGCGTGTAATTAAAAATATTGTACGTAACGTGAATGCGAATCTCAGGCTGGCGTGTAATTAAAGCCATTTTACGTAACTTGAACTCGAATCTCAGGCTGGCGTGTAATTAAAACTGTTTTACGTAACGGGGTAGCGAATCTCAGGCTGGCGTGTAATTAAAACTGTTTTACGTAACGGGATAGCGAATCTCAGGCTGGCGTGTAATTAAAACTGTTTTACGTAACGGGAAGCGAATCTCAGGCTGGCGTGTAATTTAATACATTAACACTCAATATCAAGTGTTCATTGTAAAGATATTGCATAACGTCAATGCAATCCAAGGCCAGACTGAAACTGCTCTTATTTGTGTGATTGTGAATCTTATGCTGAAAGGTTGAATCTAAGGCTGAAGGTAAAAATTGTTAAAATTCTGTTCGAACGCAATTTTTGTATCCAAGGCTAACTTCATTTTGGTCCAAAGTGTTCAGTAAATTAGATGCAAACAGCGGTTTTCACCAGATACCGTTAACAGAAGAGTCARWGCTCCTCACAACGTTTATCACTCCATTTGGACGTTACTGTTACAATAGGTTGCCTTTCGGCATAACTTCTTCATGTCTTCAATCTTGTCAAACGAAGAGGGAACAGTGAATATGATTGATGATACACTGGTTTTTGGCCGCAATCAGCAGGAGCATGATGAGCGTCCTCACAAGGTACTAAAAAGGATTCTCGACTTTCACGTGACGTCATCAGTCGAAACAAAATTCTAAAATCACAGACACACAACATTGTGGCAATGAAATATCTTGAAGAGCATGATAGAAGTTCGCTCTGAATGTTTAAACTTTTTTTGCTGTTTATTCGTTGAGTTATTAGCGTTCAAAGATATGTTACGTAATACTGCCACGCGACTTGATACACGCCAAAAATACTCGAAAAGTCTATGAATCTTAAAACAATTATAGTCTCAGCATCAATTTAAATGTTTACAATCATATAGTTTGTAAAGTTAAAGCAAAATCATTAGTTTTGAGCTCAATTCGATGCTCGTAGTTACGGTCCGCCATCTTTATGCTCCTGACGGGGGCACAATCATGGCGGGCCCATACATTTCTTTGTAAAGTAAGACCGTATTAAAACGCTTATATTTTCGCTAGGAAATCACAGTTTTGATCCAAACTTTGCATAACTGTTGGGAGTTATATACTTGTTTGATCCTTGGACTTAAAAAATTAATTTGAATCTTAAAACAAAGCTTTTTGTAGGTATTTCTTGACTAGTCCAAAACGCATTGAGCCGTGCTAATCCCATACATTCTTACCAATTTTCGATCGCTTGTATTTCTGTTAAAAATCATTATTTTGGCTCTAAGTTTCGTCATGATCCTTTAACTAAGATGTTCTCTCGAGAACAATAATAAAAGTTTGCTAATTTTGCCTCTAAATAGCTTTTTTAGACTATCACGTGATCAGTGAAAGTCAAGAATAGAAGCGGCAGGAATTACCCTGAACTTAGACAAATGTGAGTTTGCTAAGACAGAGGTCACCTTCTTAGGCCATGTGGTAGACAGCAATGGAATACGACCTGATHCTTCAAAGATCAAGGCAATAAAGGATATGGCTGCTCCAGAGAACATACACGAGTTGAGAAGATTCTTAGGAATGGCTAACCAACTGAGCAAGTTTACCAGCAAATTGACAGAAACATCAAAACCACTGCGAGACCTCCTCAGTACTAAGAGAGCCTGGGCCTAGGGATCTGATCAGCAACAGGCATTCGAAAAATTGAAGGAATTACTTACATGTGAATCAGCTGTGTTGGCACATTATGATCCTCAACGAGAGACACGAGTTTCTGCAAATGCTTCAGCATATGGTCTAGGTACAGTCCTAGAACAACAACAGGATGACATGTCTTGGCGCCCAGTGGTCTATCATTCACGTTCTATGTCTAGCTGTGAACAGAGATATGCACAGATAGAGAAAGAAGCCCTAGGTGTGACTTGGGCTTGTGAACGCTTCAGCAGTTATCTGATTGGAAAGAAATTTGAAGTATTGACAGACCACAAGACACTGGTTTCATTACTTGGATCTAAAGACCTAGATACACTTCCACCTAGAATTCAGAGATTCCGTATGAGAATGATGAGATTCCATTACAGCATCAAACATATACCTGGTAAAGATCACGTAATTGCTGATACTCTTTCAAGGGCACCTGTAGCAAATAATAGCGTGAACAATGACAATTTACATGGGGCTAGTCAAGATTATGTTGACATGGTCTATTCAAGTTTTCCAGCTAGTGACCARCAGTTGAAAAACATTGAACTACATCAACAAGAAGATGATACTTGTAAGTCATTGATTGAATATTGCAAAAATGGTTGACCTGGAAAGTCATCCATTAAAGGCTTACTCAAACTCTATTTGCCGGTGGCATCGGAACTGACGGTTGTAAATGGACTGTTGATGAGAGGAAGTCGTATTGTAACTCCAAGTTCTTTGAGAATGGACATGCTTGATAAACTCCACTCAGGACATCTTGGTATTGTTCGCTGCCGTGAGAGAGCAAGACAGTCAGTGTGGTGGCCAGGATTGGCTCAGCAGTTACAAGAGTGTATAGAAAATTGCAGCGTCTGTCGACTGAATGCAAGGAATCGTGCTGAACCTCTTATCCCATCAGAGCTACCAGAGCTACCATGGCAGAAACTTGCAGGCGATCTTTTAAGGCTGATTTACACGGCACGATTGTCTCGTGCGACTTGTAGTATACGACTTGAATCGCGCAGTGTAAATGCCCCTACGACTTGTCTACAACAGTCGTACGCAACCTACGACTTGTAGTAGGGTTTTGAACCACTGCTTAAAATCCTACGACTTGTAGTAGGAAAATCGGATACAACAAGTCGCGCGCGACAAATCGTACCGTGTAAATCAGCCTTTAGAGTTCAAAGGACACATGTACTTGGTGACAGACTACTACTCAAGATACGTGGCGTTGGTAAAGTTGTGTAACACCACATCATTGAGCATCATAAATCATTTGAAGTCTATGTTTGCCAGACATGGTATCCCTGTTACTATGGTAACAGACAATGGCCTTCAATATTCTTCTAGTGTGTTTGCAGAATTTGCTAGAGAATATGGTTTTGTTCATGTTACAAGCAGCCCCAGGTTTGCACAAAGCAATGGACATGTTGAAAGAGCTGTCCAAACTGTGAAATCACTTTTGAAGAAATGCAGTGATCCTCACCTAGCACTCTTAACCTACCGATCTACTCCATTGTAGCATGGTTTCAGCCCAGCTGAGCTGTTAATGTCAAGACGCCTTAGAACAACTGTGCGTATTGTGTCATCTCATCTTAGACCTACAGTTCCTGATTACATCACTGTGAAAGCCAAGGATGRCATGATAAAGGAAAGGCAGAAAAGGAATTTTGACAACCATCATGGTGTTAAAGAGTTGAATCCCCTCAATACTGGAAACAAAGTTTGGATATCAGATCTTAAGTCATATGGGACAGTTGTTAGCAATCCACAAAACAGAAGTTATGTTGTTACTGTAATGGGGCTTGGCTTACTAACTAGATAGACCAAAGGTAGAACGTACTGGGGATTTTTATTCGTCGTTAACTCCGTGAAAGACTTAAGATAAGTTACAACTGTGTTTCACATTGTGTATAGATTGTAGAACAGAATAGTGTATAACTACATCCTTCTGAGTATATTTTGTTCTCCCTTGATTATGTTAAGGGTAGGTCAAAACTGTTTTTTAACGACAGCTGAAATACAGAGTAAGATTTCTCATCCTGTTCAAATAGAGTGATGAACTAAGGTGTTGTTCGAGGTCAACAGATAGCGAACTACTGAAAATATTAATTAAGTTCTTACTGGCAAATTGTTGTTGTTATGACAACTAGTATAATTTACGTTGAAATCACTGATGGCTGTTCGAGCCCATTTACATTACTACCCCAATGGTCAAATCAGGAGGAACAGAAGACATCTGACAGAGGTACCGGAGAAAGCTCAAGAGTCTTTGGAAGAAAAGCTTCCCGAATCTACCACTGATGTATTAAGTTCACCAGAACCATCTACATGYAAGGATACACAAGAAAATCGGTCACCTACAAACACTGAGAACTTAACAACTACACGAAGCGGCAGGGTGGTGAGACCTCCTAAGCGATATTCAGAATAAAGAGAAAAAGAAAAAGCCCAATTAGAAACATTAACACTTTTTGTTATATTGGTAAATTATTTTCACTGTTTTCTCGCTCTCTTATTGGACGATTCGGTGTCACGTGTCCGGAGCTAAAATCAACTATTGACTGATCGGTCAACAGTTTGGCGATTGTTGACCGCTTGGCGGGAAAAGGCCGCCTCGYGTCGAGTAACAGTTTGTAAAGGCGGGAATTGTTTTTTGCTGCTTTTGACTGTTTACAAAATGTAGCCGGCATCAAAAAGATTTTCAAATCTTAGTCAAGAAATAKACGAAATGGTTGTCAACAAAGACTCGGAAAACACTAACAAAGCTACAAAGACTGCTGTGGCTACGACTCTCTGATAGAATTCTGCAGAGAAAACAAGAGAGAAACGGTGAATTTGGACAAATGTCACGTTAAATTTCTATTCAGGAACTCATTGACTGTTTCATTCATAAAGTTTTGCTAGTTTTTTGGCATTTGTATATTTATATTATTTTATTCGGAGCGTCCCAGGACTAAACGTCAGGCAGTCGAATTTTTTCTTAAAAAATTGTCGAAACAACCGTAATTTCAATTAATACAACAAGGGGAATGCAATAAAGACCGACTGCCTGACCACAGGCTTACCAAACTATCGAGAAGAGTCGGCTCCAGGCCTCCTATGGCGATTATCGGCCGAAAGTCGTTGAAATCTCTTCAAATTAGACCATTTTCAACATCGATATTTTGGTTATTTTGGGGGGTTATATTCTGGTTTTATAGTTCAGACATAAACTTTAATGCTTTCTGAATTTGGATTTGTGGTTCTTTTTGCCGTGCGATGCGTTTTTCATCGGTAAATGATCGCGAGCCCCGGTGAAGTAAATCCCCAGAAGGCTGGCAACTCCAGGCCGCCGACGGCAGGTCTAAAACGCGGGTAGCGGGTAAGGGTAGAGGGTAAGGGGTAGAGGGTAAGGGTAGAGACTAAGGGTAGAGGATAAGGGTAGAGATTTTTTTTATTATGTTTGAGTACCGTATTTACTCGAATAAACGCCGCACTCAAATAATCGCCGCCCTCAAATAAACGCCGCATCTGGAAAACAGAATATTTAATAAACGCCGCCCCCGAATAAATGCCGCACCGTTTGTTCAAGAAAAAAGATAAATAACAAATATTGAGAATCATGACGTTTAAAGCAGCAATGGAAATATATTTTCTTTCAAAACAACATTTTTAGTTCAAAATGACTGCATCAGTATTATATTAAGTTATGTTGAACCCGTTATTTAAAGACTACCATACTGAATGCTGAGCCTTTTGGTAAAAAAGATCGGTACCGTTGGTGATATTTTGCAATAAACGCCGCCCTCGAATTAACGCCGCCCTTAAATAAACGCCGCAGCAAGAAGACGAGATTTGAAATAAACGCCGCGGCGTTTATTCGAGTAAATACGGTATTTATATAGTATGTAGAAGGATGGATACATTTGCGTTGAATTACATTACATTAATAAAACAAAAACACAAACAAAACATGCACATTTTATTTGTATAAAAACAGCTTCAACCATACTAACTTTATTTCTAATTCTTGCGAATATAAAGACTCGTGAAAATTAGTACGAGTACTGATATTAAAGCATATATTGGGCTTTACTTGAGACTTGTATTATTATTATTATAAAATGTATTACCATATATGGATATCCGTGCGAACGACAGGTTTTTTAAAGATATAATTGTTTGATATGATTGCTTTCATCACGAGATTGTGCAAAACATTCCATACGAAACTAGTCAAAAATTACACCGAACTCGGTAAATAGAAGACGTTTGTGACAGTCTGCCAACTGTCCCAATACCTCTTCTGAGATGTGTAACTTGCCATTACGGACATCTGACTTTGTAAGCTCAGAACAACAGGCCTCAGTAGGATGGAAGTATACCTTCTCCGGTTGCAGTGAGATTCGCAATTTGTTTTCTCCCCGTTTCCTGAACACCCTTCGTTCTTTGTGCATGATAAACACATCGTAAGGTGGTGGTGGGGGCGGCGAGGATGGTTTGTCTCGCACCCTCCCCTTGCAACCATAGCATGTGGTGGCTGCAGTCTCTTTGACCATAACCACGTTGTATGGTTGTTCATCAGATGGAGATGCTGTACCTTGTACTTTCTCTCCATCATAATTTTCCACATCTCGTGGTTGTTGGTCAGATTTTCGTTTTCGTTCCCGCTTCTTCTTTTTTTCGTTCTCTTTAAGTCCCGATCCACTTGGTATTGAGGAACGAACCATACTGTCCAGGGGTGGTCTGTATGAGCTGAAAAGCTCTTTCAGTTTACCAACGTGATGTGCAGCAGCAATGGTATGCGCGCACATTTTAAATTGCTGATATCTCGGACAAGTCTCGTCGCATACCAGTTTGCCGCTTTTTTTGGATTTCGACAGTGTGGGCTGTGGGCCTTGACAAAGAAATTACGGTTCTCTTATTTTTATTGTTAGGGAACGGCCCTACTCCCTTCATCTCTGTTATTTTACTTGCATTGGCAAAAGAGCCCCTTAAAAATTCGGGCAACTGGGTCTCTTCGAAATTGCCTAATCTGTTTTCAGTTTTCCCAGCCGCCTTCTCGGGCTTATGGTCATGTAGCTGTAACAAATCGGTAGATTCCTTTAAAGTAGCATCTAATTTGCTTAGTCTGAGTTGTTTCGCTCTAATTGTCATACATGACCACTCGGGCAAAGACACCTCCAAGTGTTGGTATCTATGTGATAGAGATAATTGTCCCTTCCTGAGTAAAGATCGGCCCTTTTCTCTGTTTATTTCATCGAACATATTGCCGTATATCTTTATTGCCTCACTCCAAGTACACTTCATGGACGGCCTGTACCCGGCAGCATGTTCCATTTTGCTTTCTTTGATTTTCGATTTATACTTGAAGTTACTGCATTCCTGTGCATTATTATAGAAAAACTCGTCTCCAAGACCCGCTCTTCTCCTGATACTAAATAGCATGCCATTCATCATGTCATCTTGGATGAACTTCGTAAAATATTTAGAAAATTCGGGGTTTTTCCCGAGATTTCTTTGATTTTCCAAATTGTCCCACTTCTCAGTGACACTTAAAACTTTTGCAATGAACTCGTCGTTTGACGTACTGTCAACAAGTCCTTTTTGTTTGTCTCTTTCACTTCCAAAGATGTCTTCCAGTATTACATTGCACGACTTATTGAGACCGAGTTCATTCAACTTTCTAGTTATATCATCAGCCACGTGTTTCTTGCAAGGGAGAAAAGTACATCCCTTAAGCGGTGAAATAAAGCCCTGCTGGGCTTTATCCCTGTCCCCGCCAACATATCTTATTTTCTCCAGCCTACTGTCCTGTTCAAGTAAGGTATTGATAAAATACCTAAAATCTTTCTCTGTCTTTGTTACGTGAAACATGACAGGGCCGGGCAGTGTTGCAGCTTTACCCGACCGAGTGTGAATAAATTTGCTACTCTGGTATGTTGTCGATGTGACGTAAAACTGGCCCACGTTGTACGTTGTATCGATGCAGAGAATACTCTGCGAGTCACTGGTGCAGCATTCATTGGCGATGTCCTCCAGCTGCCCTTCTGTGCAATAGACCACTCTTGGCGCCGGAGTCCATTGTAGGTTTTTTATTTGAGGGAAATCTTTTGACAATCCTAAAAGAGCTTGATTTGGCTTGATTTTACTTTTAAATTCCCACGAGCATTTTTGATTTGTTTTAGGTCGCGGGGCATGTCAGCTACAACATCGCAAAAAACAATTCCCCCGACTTCTTCGACAGTTTGGTCAAAGATTGACGAAGGGCCCTGATGACCTTTCGCTCTTTCCTTAATTTTGTTTTCGTGGATGGGGCAGTTTGGACAAATGGCTTGCCCGTGCGGGGATTCTTGTGTGGGCTGACATGGTGTTCGAGTCCAACATACCGGTATTCAATGAGGCCAAGTGGCAACTCACTGTTATTGTGGTCTATTACCACTGTTGATGTTCTTAGATAATCTTTGTATTTCTTGTGGCGATGGAAAACATTTTTTAGCGCAACTTGTCCTTCTTGTAATTTAGCATCTTTTAAACTACGTACTGACTGACTTTCGACAACAACGTTGTCATGGAGAGTAAAAAGTTTGGTACTCGATCCCCGATGTTCAAACGCTCCTATATCGGTCATTAGCCAATCTTCCTGGTTTTTCAAGAGAGAACGATCGATAACAAAGAAAGAATTTTCCTGTACGTTATTTGGACGTTTGCTGCACACTTTGCTGCGCTCTACGTCCAGTAATAAAATGTGTAGCTTCTGTTCAAAGGACAGACTGAACTTCCCTTTGTGCAAGTATGGGGTTGAAGAATCCCCAGTATAGTATACTGGTTTCTCACTGCAAA